AAAAAAAAAAAAATTAAAAAAAAAAAAAAAAATTGAAAAAAAAAACGGGTGCAGCGGACCCCGTCGCACTACCCCTGGATCCGCCACTGAGTCAGTCATCCATGGCAGAATTGTAATACATATTTAAAGAAAATATTTAAATAAATATATATAAGAAGAAAATAAATTATTATTATTTTAAAACTATTACATAAAATGTTATCACAAAGTTTTTTCCCCTTGGGGAGAATTACCGGGGTATGGAGGGGTGAGGAGGAGGATGACAGTGTGGACGAGATATCCCCTTCATAAATTTGATTTAAATCACTGTGGCATACATTAAGCAAGGATTAATCAAATCATTGTAGTTCACTTTTCCTTGGCCTTCATTTGTGCACGAAATCAGATATTCTCATTTTGACCCCTTTTTTAAACCAACATTCCCGTCAAATCGCATTAGTCACAAGTTGTTTCCATAGCAACAGCCATAACATCCCTCTTACGCAAATTGTTACAAGGACCACTTAAGTTCGCAGTGTATCTAGCTCTTTATAAAAACATCAGGGCTCGGGAAAGATCATGAAATATAGCTTAAAGGTAGCGTTTGGTGTTCGATAGTGACAGGCTAGATAAATCCATCAAAGATCAAATCTGTGGTTGTCAGTAGCTTTCTATTGTTTCAGCTAATTCCCAGTTCATGTTACACCCCTATATCAAAGTATTGATATCTATCTCTCACTCTCTTGCCGTGTGTTTTTTGCGACACTGCTGGTGCAGTACTACGCTCTTTGCACACCTCTGCACCTAGTGATATCTCCTCTGACCGCAGAACGGTGAATCCCTCACGTCAGCCTGTTAAAAGGAAGCTCTCTTCTGCTTCGGTTTCAAAAGTCAAATTAAACGTTGACAAAACCGCAGTTTCGTTGAAGATTAGGTACCGGTACTACGACTTAGAACCTACAATAATATCACTTACAGAAAAGAGAGCATAATCAAAAGTGCCTCACGTTAGCTCAGCGTGTAGCTGCAATGTTATCAGTCTGATCCAAATTATTCTAGACAGTTGTAAGCCCTCGTTCGTGAAAATTTATCAAGTTTTCGATAAATTTGATGGCGTTTCTCTGGCTATCCACCTTTATTATTTACATCTTTTCAATCATCGTTCAAGTACGAGGTAAAGTAGCAGCGGTAACACRCTTAGTCTCGATATTTGTGGTTTTTGGGAAACCAGAAAGGGTATCTGTGTTCTTTAAGACTTTTCTTTGTTGTTTTTTTTTTTTTTAGGTGGACGAGTCACTAGAATTAGTCCAGTCTCTGGAAGTGTCCGTGGAGCGACAAGGTTGACAATCTTTGGCGAAGGTAAATACAAACCAGAGATGGCATTTATTTATTTTTCAGTCATGTCATTAGAAGTGCAGAACTGACTCTCCTGTGTTTAGCCAGTTGAAGTGAACGAGAGAGTGCTAAGCTGCGCACTTTATAATTATTAAGCCCATTTAAAACTAGCTCAATATTTATTTATTCATTTAATAAACTTTCACCCTAAAATAACTATTACAAAGTATATACTAAAAACTTGGGGAAAATAAAGATAATCTTTGGGTGAGGAACAGAGCTGGGCTCCAAACAAAGTGTCTCCTATAAATTGATTTAAATTAAAAATATCAAATGATAAAAAGTACAACAATTACACAACATTCACCTATAGACTTTCTAGGGCGGTTGTTTTTGTTCGGTAGCTCATTGGTTATCAGGACTGTCAGGCGTATTTCAGTAGCTTAAAGATCGTAGATATCTTCTCCAAATTCAAGTCAAAAGATAAGAACCTTTAACATGGTAATTGCAGTTCTTGATTATGTTTTAATTGACTAATTGATGTGAATGGATTGTCCAGATTGAGTAGATCCAAAAAAACACAGGCATTACACGTAAGCTACATTTAGGTTGTTAATGCAAAAATGACAAGAACTACAGTCTAAGATTAGACTTCATGATTTACTGCGAACACTGTGACGAAGAAGTCAGTTACGATTGCATTCGAATTCAAAATTTAAATGGATTCACCGCAGGGATATTTTATTAAAGGACCGAAACTCATACAAGGATATCACTGTGGTCATTCATGAGTATATTTAAAGCCTTCCATACATAAATCGTGCTAGAATTGAGAAGCTCTGCTGCTAGCAGAAAGAGAGAATACGATCAATTATGACATGAGAATCGTATTGACTCGTAAAACTATACTAAAAAATATCGCCGCAGACGTCAGACTTAGGGGCTCTCAACGCCAGCTGTTGTCAAGTCTAACTCGATAGCATATCTTTTGACCTTGTGTCGTAATTTAGCGCCGGGACACTACAGCTTGAAGTCACGTACCAGTCTATTCTAAAATCTCCAAAGAAACCAACTGATTCTCTTCGACATAAAATGGAATCCAGAATTCAAAATTCATAATTTTCGCCAAAAGATTTTGGTATCCGATTAATTTAAGCGTAACAAACTAGAAATACTCAATTCGCAAAAAGAATGTATGCTCGCACAAAAACCAAGCTTGGGCTCCCTGTGGCACTTTTCACATTCCAGAGAGACGGAATTATACTAAATTATTGACCAACGCACCCATTATATCTTGCTGTTTAATTTTTAATGTTTTAAAATTGATTTTATTTATTTTTTAGGGTTCGCAGAAAGTCAGTTCAATTACTACGTACCTCAGCTCGGTAACAATGTTACACTGATATCGGTCACAGGTACGCATGCGCTTGCCTGTGACGTCATCCCATATTATACTAATAGACAGCAAATCGTCTGTAACACCAGGTAAGGTTGACTGCGTTACTAAGCAACGGATAACTTCTCTTTCGTGAGAAAAATGATTGACTATTAATACTTTGCTTTTAGGCCTTCGCCGTTTGGATTCGGTGCGTATAATATTCGAGTTCAAGTCGATGGTGTTTTGCTACGAAGCATTAAGGGCAGCACTTATTGCGATGGAGAATGCGTCTTCAAGGTAGCTAGACGAACCCTGCGTAAATGGCAATATTGCTATGTATAAGCATAGAGATATATTTGTATGCATATAAGCATTGCAATGTTACGCTTATTACTTTGGGTGATATATAACTACTGATGGCTTGAAAGCATTCCTATGACAATGACAAAGGTGCAAGGCGGCCATATGTGGTATTAACTATGGGCGCTAATAAGAAGTCTTGTCAAAGACCACCAATGTGGCCACGATGACGTAACGCGCAAAAGAAGCATCGGGAGCTAGTAAAGTATTCCCATACCAAGCGAAATGACAAAAGAATTCGCCATGCTGGATAATGTAACGAAAGACACCAACACCCCATCTTTTGTTCAAATCTTTAAAGCGATTATACATGACGTCTGCAAAAATTGATGTTGCATTGCAAAAACAGTCTCTTAAACATCGTATCAACGACGTCCAATCGTATTCTGTGTTTGTTATTGAATTAAATATTGAGGTCAGTTTTGAGTAGAATTGATGGCAAGAGAGTTGTTTGTATTATCAACACAATCAAGTATAGATCATAGAGGTGGGAGGGAGATGGGGTTTGCTGTCAAGTGCAAATCCAAACACGTTTTTTATCTTTCTTGCTTTCAGTACGAAGACAATGCAACTCCCACGGTAACGTCCATATCTCCAAGATATGGAGTACCAGGTATATACAGTTATAATTCTACGTAGTATAGTGTGGCTTAAGCTATATTAGGCTGATTTGCAGACCAAGGTTTTCGATGCCATTTATAGTCCTAAGGAAGTGTCATCAGCATGTTGCGCGCGACCGTTGTGAGGAAAAATGACCGATGGCCTCACGATAGTCTTCTTTATAAACCATTAACGATTTAACCAAGGGATCATTGTCTCTTGATTTGACGCAACATTTCTGCGTCTCTTCTACTCCTTGAGCTCAGCGCGCTAATGAATCCCACTCMTAAATGTTTGGACTAAAAGGGAGGTCAACCATCTGGTCATCCGTCACAACCATCGACGTTTCTCGTTTCTTTTAACTAAACAAGTGACTCAAAGGTCGTGCGCAAAGCCATGCACGCTGTCAATGATCGTCATTAAGATCATGCGCAGTACTTAATGTTAGTCATTCTTAATTCAAGTGCATTCCTTTGAAAGAAATTGTGAAAAGTTTTTAAGACTGCATAAAAACTCCCTTATAAAAATAGCGCAATGCTTTAATCAAGTTAAATTTTCGCATATTTCAAAGTTGAAAGTAAAACAAGACGCCCTACAGGCGTTCACTGGGTTACCTGTGTAATGCACAGAGATCTAGTACGGCTGAAGAAGTTTGCAATGTTTGCCAAAATATAATGGAGTGTTTCACAGAAAAAAATGGTTAGGTTTAACAAGATCGGGGTGTATTCTCGTAAAAACATTCAGTTCAGTTCCTTATTATCACGAACCAAACCATCCTTTCATGATTAAAAAGTGAGCCATTTTGTGTTTTGAAACAGGCAACCCAGTCATAAAACGACGAGTTTTGCGTGGACAAAAGATTCATATTCACAACTCTTCAAAATCTGTTTTAATAATTTTTTTTCCCATTTGGTACTATAGGTAGTGTGATCACTATTCGTGGCAGGATATTCACAGATCGATACGTGGAAGCAGAGGGAACCAATTCTGATGGAGTCTCTATCCTCAGGTAAATTAAACACTTGAGATTCGTGGTCCTTTTTTAACGCGCCGACAAAACTTCTGGAGAAAGTTCGTGGACCTTTTTTATTCGTGGACCTTTTTTATTCGTGGACCTTTTTTATTCGTGGACCTTTCTTAGGCACATATTTTTATTTATATATATATTTTTCTTCTTAAATTTATATATTATTTTCCTGAGAAAATGAGCGGATTATGCGCTAGAGCAAATGTATGTACTTTGCCGTCTATTCTTTTGTTTAATTCCAGGGTGTTTGCAGGCTCAGGAATGTGCGAACCGCTTAACCAAGACACCAAAGAAATGTAAATAGATCCGTTGAATCTTGATTTTTGCACATTATTTACCCTTCACTTACACAGTATGATATTTAGAGAAGAGCCAATGCAACCCCGGGGGAAGGGGAGAATAGCTGGGGATGGGAGGAGGAGAATAGCCGGGGATGAGAGGGGGAAAGGTTTTTAAACCTTAAAATGATGTGCATAGAATTCGGTAAAAATGTACTTTCTTGTCATCTGTTTTTGAAAGGTATGGTATTGCGTTTGATAAATATAGCTCAAGCACAGGCTACATTAAATGCAGGACTACCCCCACAACTGTAGGTAAGATTCATTTTATCATCCAAGTTCATAATAGCCTTCTATACCTTGGGCGTAATGTTTTCCCATTTCAGACCACGAGTAGCATTTCTTAGTTTATAACGGTTGAGCACGAGAAGACACATGAATATAGATACAACTCAAACAAATATTATGTATTCTCAAGAGAATGACACGTGGTTTTAAATAAGAAAGCATCATACCCAAGCTATAAATAAAAAAGAAACAAAACATATCGCACACTGCATAATAAAATGAAAAATTGAAAGGCTAATTAATTATTTTGTGAGCAGAATATGAAAATATAAGCAAAGAAAGAACCTTTGACAACTATGTGGGTTACATAATGGATACTGACGAAGATATTTCCCGGGGCGTAGTGAGGTCTCAATTATAGGGGGGAGGGGGGGGTGGCAATTTACCATTTTCCTGCTAACTCCACAGGAATCCCGCATTCATTGCCGAAATCAAATTTTTGGGGTCACGTGCCCTCCTTCCGTGCTCCCTTCCCCTAGCTGTTGATTCTACTCACGAATCTGTTTGTTTGTGTTTTTCTCTAGGATCCCATCGCGTGTCCTTCATTGTATCAAAGTATGGTCGTTCACTCATGTCTAAGGATGCTCTATTGGTGGATTCACAGGATAAACTTTATATGTTCCAGGCACATGCAGGTACATAGATCAATAAGTATTCTCTCGTGTTCTTCACACTGTCAGAGTATTCATTATGTTATATCTTGTAATGCATCTCAGTCTCTCTGTTTCTCTCACTCTCATTTTTGTCATCTCTATCGCATCTTTATCGCATCCGTTGTGCCCCACTAAAATACCTGCAGCAAGTTAAAAAAGTTGCTGAAAATAAGAAACGAGTTGCTGCATTTACAACCGAGTTAATCAGGATGCTTTGCGGCCAATCTGATTATTTGATTTCCGTCATTCAAAAAATTACAAATCGCAAGCATTTGATGTCCTTTCAATGTATATGTCATGGTCTACGGTATTCACATCCAGCGAAAGGACCGGTGTGATTATGAAAAAGGTCCTTTAAGTGGATGTGAACTCTATTAGACCATGACTATTTCACATCCAGCGAAAGGACCNTCCAGCGAAAGGACCGGTGTGATTATGAAAAAGGTCCTTTAAGTGGATGTGAACTCTATTAGACCATGACTATTTCACATCCAGCGAAAGGACCTTTTCGATATGAAAAAGGTCCTTTCACTGGATGTGAAATAGTCATAGTCTAATGGAGTTCACATCCAGTGAAAGGATCTTTTTGATTCTAAAAAAGGTCATGTCAGTGGATGTGAAATAGTCATGGTCTAATGGAGTTCACATCCAGTGAAAGGACCTTTCCGATTATGAAAAAGGTCCTTTCACT